AAAATATTTTGTTCTTTTACTTTTTACAACACAAAGGGTTATTTTCTTTTTAAGAGACACAACATTCTATTCTTTTTGATATTCAACGAATAAAAAAGATAGAACAATATGTTTCCTAAAAGGAAAACAGTTTAGATCAACATTAAACATTAAACATTAGTGACATTAGTGTCATAGTTTTGCCTTACCAGAATGTATCACCCACTGTCTGCCGCTTCGATGAACAATCAAGTCTGACAGCATTGTAGTATATGCCATTTTAATGGACGCAGGCAAATCCTCTCTGTGCAACTGCAAAATTTTATAGAGCCGATTGTACACATCTTGGCAGTGCCAGTAGTGATAACGTAGTTCATGTCGTGAGATAATCCCCACTAATTTCAACGTAAATGTAATCACAGGGTGCGAAGCTTTCTGCCCAGTCTCCCATATCGCTAAAGCCTTGGGTATCCATTCTTGAAAGACTTCGCAGTATTCATAATCAACTGTAGCGCCTGTACAATTTAAATAGCAAAGTATATACCGGATAATATTTAATATATTGTGTTCAATTTATATTATATTACATAATAAATTTAGAAATTTAATGACTATTCTGTTGAACGAATCATGTTGGACATAATGCTTATCATAATTTCTTCGATTAATAACAAACGCAATCATTGGACAATTTCTTTTCAGACTTAATTACCAAATATGCTGTTATTATTGTTTTGCCAAAATACTATGTCGAAGTTAATTGTGCAAACAGATCAATATTTTACAAAAGATCAGAGTTTCTGTATATTTTTGTAAATGTATCTGTATATCACAAATTATAAATTTTATGCAAAATTTTATTATATAATTTCATACACATTGTTCTATTTATTTAGGGATAGGGTGCTTTTCATTTGGTGGCGTAAATTGACACAAGCATCATTCTATCTATCTTGACATTCGATAACAAAGGTAGAATGACACTAGTATCGACTTATGTCATGGAAAGCATCCTACGTGTTTGGCTCTTATAGGTATTTTTTATTTGTTGATTTATTTCAATAAAGCCTAAAATTGACTAATTACTCCTTACATTCCTTCGTGTTCTCCGCAATGTGAGTGAGCAGATGATCCAAGTAGGTTGGTGAGATGACATTATAATCCGGCAGTAGGAACAAGTCCAAGACCTTCGCCAATACCTCCTCGTTCTTCTTTATGCACGAATTCATCGTGATGCGATGCTGCGATTTCTACGACAATGCGCTTCAAAGACCCTACCTTGATCGTATGCAAACGAGCAGCAAGAAATCAACGATGTTGCAGCGATGAAAACGAACAAATTTTATTTACCTTCAGCAAACGATGATTAATATCTAGTGACACGTTGGAAGATTCGCGAGAGGCTGATAAGCCTTCAGTTTAAAGAAATCAAGAAAAATCAATGAAATATATTACTCACGACATTTTCCAACGTGATAATAAGCGTCCTCGGCGTTTTAAGAGCCGTTACTATTGACGGGAGACATTTTTTGACACATTGTGAAACCGTTTGATCTTTAGCACGTGCGTCAATGAGATACGAATCCAAAAAGGGTTCATTTCCGCGCTAATCACTGAGGAACTGTTGATATTGCAGATCCCGCCAGTTCTTTAGCCGAGACGCAAACACTCGTTCTGCATTACCGACAAGTATCGCTGAGATAATCCAATGGCGCGATTTTTTAATTATCTTATAAACATTGATTATAAACCCTTATCTCACAAACATCATTATGTAGTTATACAATTACATAATTCATATTAAATAATTCGAATTAATCAAATAAAGGGCATGTACCACAACGCAAGTTCTTGATAGCAAGAATAATATCATATATCCTGTTAGCATACAAATAATAATTATAAACGGTTCGGCTTTGATTAGACCTTCTTCAATATATGTGTAAACAACCGTAAAAATCTCGGATAAATGTTTACAAATTAAGTTACGCGATTAGAACATAAAAATTGCTTAAAAGCAGAGTCAAATTAAAAATAAGTCAGAAAGATAACGCAAAATGCTCGTTAATAAAAAAATTTTTTTATGATTCGTCAGTGATAAGATTTTTATTTCTTATTGGTTCTGATCGAGGCCAAAACGTTTATAATTATTATTTATATACCAACAGAATAAAATATCTCGCTACCAAGAACTTGCATTGTGGCTAGATGTAGACGGAAAAATTCTAAAATTTTAGGAAAAAACTTGGAAAATAATGGTTTTTTTCCTTCGACTTTGACAGTTTTTTTACTCAGATATATATATTTTTTTTAGCTTTTTACGATTTGTTATTACTTTTTCGATGTTACTATTGTTCCAGAATTTAGTTTATGCACTTATCCGCAAGATTTCTGTGTAAAAATAGTTACAAAAGTTAAAATATAGTATAATGTCAATGGCTATAAATATACCTTACCTTTCACTATTATTTGAATGATATTTTATACTGTACTTCAATTTTAAAAGTTAAGTAAGTGTTCCGTACTGTTATTAATACAAATAATACTTTATTAGACTAATTGACATTGTTTTTGTTGTATACTATGATTGTAATTATACATATTCTAAATTTAAATTCGTGAAATAACGTTCATCAAATCTTTAATTACTCTTGAATCAATATTATAGTGAGATGTTCTCTCAAAATAATTAAAATACACAGTACAATTATAATCAATAGGCAACAAAACAGTATCTATTATGCTTATGAAGTATTATCTATATTAATAACATCACTTATTTAGCTGCTAAATGTAAAATATCTGTCATTCAAATAATATTATATTGAAATAACTATCTGTTTTTTCATAAATGTTACGTAATTTGGTAAAAAATACCGTTATTTAACAATAAAAAAACCTAGTTTTTTACTAGATACTTTTCTCCGAAGTCAAAAATATCGTTTTTTTTTACATTTCCAGTTGTGGCACATGCCCTTTATTTGATTAATTTGAATTGTTAGCCACTTGAACTCTTTTATTGTAAATAATTCGAGACGTGTTGGATTGCGCAAAAGGGCAGGCAGTGTGTAATAGCAAAAACGTGACTGTATTTCATAAAAGCTTGAGTAAAATACATACTATGTAGCTGTGAAGCATATATCTGCGTAATTACAATTATCGATTAGACTCTTTTACGTTATCATAAAATTCTATACCATATACGACCATTTTTTTAATATACCGAACGACATGTATTTTGTGTATATAAATCGTTCGATATAACATAATAAACAACGCTTTGACCTGATTCTCATATATCGTTTATGTATAATACACTTGTTATAAACAAGGGTTCTCAGGAATACGTAACGTCAGTCACCCCGTATTACGAAATCGGAGGAAAAAGAACTGCGCGAGCAATCACTCGCGTGGATGTAAATTTGAACGAATCTTATATTAAGCGAGACGATCTCGTATATTAATCTCACAATTTCTCCGCTTCTCATATCATAATTCGTGGTAACCGGCGCGCAGAAGGATATCAAGAATCTTCAGTAAACAAAAAACAGTCGATCTTTCGGTATTGACCTCCATAACATTTCTCAGAGTTCCAAGCCTTCTAGATTCCGCAGCCTGTGGAACGAAGATATTTCCTCGAGACTTCGAGAGTAAGCAACGAGAAATATCTCGAAGGCTTTACACAAAAAAACAAAGATCTAAATATTTAAATTTTACAACTAGAGATAGTAAAAATTCAGAAATGAAGTTCCAAGTTTTCGAAATCTGAGAAGTTTGACTTCCCGAATGTTTTCCTAGAACAATGACTTTAAGATCTTCGATATAACATAACAGACAACGGGTTAACACAAATGTATATCGTTGGTATAAAAAAAAAACAATTTATTAGGAAGTAAACTCTTGAACGCAAGATCTGTCTCTCTCAGGCGCCACGCTTGACATTACCAGATCTCAATAGGCTTAATTCCCAGCTCCAAAGTACCAAAATCTTCCAAATCCCACCTTCTCCGCAAAATATCCTAAGACTAAAAGATTTAAGGGATAAAAGTTCTTGAGGCGATGCGTTTTCCTAAATGTTAGCGATCCAAGATTTCAAAATCCAAAGATTCTAAGAGCAGAAACTTCAGAGACGTTCGTGCTTAAGAAGCTAATGATTTGAAAACACATAATTCTTTAGATCCTCTTTTTACATTGATTTCTTAAATTAATAAGATCCTAAAAATGTTGCACAAACACTTACATTTTTGTGGATTTACATTGATCGTTAAACAAAAATATTTACTTTAAATATTATATATACACTGGGCAACAAAATTAACGCAACACCTGTTCACTCTGCAAAAATAGGCAAATTTCAAGATACAATAATTTTATCAAAAATTGTCGTATCGGAATGTTTAAAAAAGCATTTTACAGATAGAAACCTTTACTTTTCGGATCGCTACTTAAAAAAACGGTCTCATGGAGATTTTATGAAGTTACACAAACATAAATAAAGATATATCAGATCTCAAAATTTTTTATGAAATTTGCGAAGCTCTACGGAGTGGAATAAAAATTATATAT